ACAATTAAGCACTTGCTTTCTAAATTCTCTAACATGTTCTTCACTGTTGTAATACCATTTCATTGTTCTTTTATTTTCAATATCTTTATTATTGATATGATATATTCTCTTACTTTCTTTTAGTTGTTCTTCGTTATCTTTTCTATATTCTTTGGGTGTTCTTCCAGCAATCCGTTTATTTACACACTCAGTTGATTTAATGTACTCTCCTTCTCTTCTTTCCAGTTCGCATTTAGAAGAACAAGGGTAATTTTCTATAAGTTCTATCTTACAGTTTTCAACCCCAGTCTCGTCAAATATATCAAAACATTTTGGGAAATTTCAACCCTTTTTTTATAATCCTTATAATGATTTCTATGTTTCGCCATTCTGTTACTCAATGGTTCAATCGTACTACCAATATAACATTTGTTATATCCTATATCAACAACTTTATAAATTTTACCTTTTTGATATTTGTTATCCATATTTCACCTAATATCACTTCTTATCACTATTTCTTTAAATATTATTTGTCAGATATTCTTAAATATTGTGTAAAGTGTTTAAGAAACATACGGTTAGTGTCTTTTTGGAGAGGGTCGATATACAAAAAACTATGTGGTTCGTCAGTAGCAGTTTCATATAAATCATAAATCATTTTCTTGCTTTCTTGTAAGTTGTTTCTTCTAACAATTGCTGATAGTTCATCTTGTAGCAACTCAATTTCTTTAAAGTTTCTCACTTTATAAAAGAACACATGTGTAGCATTTACTCTAATTAATGGTGGTAGTGTATTAAATTTCTGAATACTTGTTATGACTGATATACCATTATGGTGTCCTCTTACATACAATGAGTTTAACAGTTTGTTATGTCTCGCCACCTTAGGGTCATCACTTATATCATCCAAAATAACCAATATGGAAAGCAATTTTCTTAACTTGTTTCTTTTACTATATTCTGTTATTTTGTGTTGTGTCTCTACCAATTGTTCTAAATCTTCTGCCTTAAACTCTTCAAATAAGTAAGGTTCTTTTTCATTATCTATCTTCATTTCTTCTTTTATAAATTCTTTAACGGGCAACCACACACTATCAACATTGATTGAAGGAGACCAAATATATATTCTTTCAAAACAGTTTTTGTGTATATCAAGTATCATATTAATCAATAAAACTGTTTTACCGCTTCCTGACGGTCCAGTTATGATACTTCTGAATGCCAATTTAGGGACGACCTCGTGCTTGCTTTGCTTAAAGTCATATTTGATTTCATCAATTGGTTTTACATCAGGCATAATAAAAATAATGTTAAAGATAAATAGAAAATAATTTATATTGATTATTGAATGGAACATCTTTTCAAGATACGATTCAGGGGGTGCATCTTGGAATGGAACAGGCATTCCATTTCTTCAATCAATGGGCATTGGGGAGAATTTGTTTGATGCCCAGTTTTATGTGTACAGTGAAGACCCCAATCCCGAGGAAAAGAACGATGGCGAACCCCGAGTATTCTAAAATGCATGAAATAATAAGATTAATTGTAAATAATTTATCTTCTTATTTAATATGAATAAAAGTTATTCAGATTATATTAATATGATAGATGAAGTAGAGAATATAGAACAAGTAATAATAACTGATAATAAAATTAAAAAAATGCTGTTCTTATTCATTAGAATTAATTAAGTTAGGAATTCAATATATCAAAAATAAAAATGTAAATATTAATATAAATGGGAAGAAAGAAAAACAAAAATAAGACAGAGACTACAGTTTCTTCAACAGATGAAGATAGCGGAGAAATTGTTAAAGAAACAGCAGTGATTGAGGTTGCTTGTCCTATGTGCAAAAAGATGTTAGAACTAAAAAATGAATTAGAAATACAAAAGAAAGGAAATTGTAAATGTTCATGTATTCCAACAAGTTTCAAAATTAGAAAAAATGATAAGAAAATGAATATGGATAAAACTAAAGACAGTATCAACTTAGAAACTGATGTCCAAAATATAACTTTTAAATTTGGTAGGCAAGCAACACCATCCGACAATAATGAAAACGAAACAACAGAAACTGTTAAACAAATGATGAAAAGTTAGTATTTAAAGAGTAGATTTTACACAATTGCACTTTAAAAATATATAAATAACTAAATAAATGTTTGAATATTTATATAATCGTAATGCCAACTATGAATGGAGAAGACCAAAGAATTACAACTTTCGACAATGAAGAAATTAACGACATATTCAATGGTGATGTAAACTTTGCTAAACAATTGAGCGAAAATACTTTTATTGGTTTGATGCTAAATTCAATGATAAATATTTTATGAAAGGTATAACTAAACCGGATAAATTTGATAAAATGTTGAAGTTTTGAGAAATTACAGGTGGAGATGAAGGTTTAATAAAAATGAAAAATAACATTGATGAAAGACTCTCAGAATATGATTTATTTACATACATAACATTATATTATTCAGGTAAATTGTATAATAAAACGCATAAATGAATAATATATAAATATTTATGTATAGAAATGTCAGAAAATGGTGATTCTACAATTAACGATTTAATGAAAGATTATAATTATTAGTAAGAATATTAAAACATTAGCTGAACTTATTAAGAATATTGATGAAAAATAAACCAACCTAAAAGCAATAACGAAGATAAGGAGAAGATGGATAAAATGATTGAAAAAAAATCAATCGGACGTCCTGCAGGTTCGTTTGAAGATAAGCAGAAACAATATATGGATATGCTTAACAAAAGCAAGATCAAATGCCCAAAACCAGAAACTATTGAACAGGGTAAATATGAAACATTATAATAAATTCCTAAATCATTCTAATAATATGAATTATTAGAATTACTTTCAGGCACAGGCAGTGTTGGACTTATTGCAAAGTCGCTCGGTTTTAATGTAATATCGTTGGATCTAAAAATGCTGATATTAATTGTGATATACTTGAATGGGATTATAAACAATTTTGACAGAAACCATTTTGATTTTATTTGAAGCAGTCCTCCATGCACCGAATACAGCAGAGCAAAAACAACAGGAATAAGAAACATTGAATATGCTAATAGTGTTGTATTAAAAACATTAGAATTTTGGATGGCCGTATTTTGTTATTGAAAATCCACAGACTGGATTATTGAAGAGTCAGTCTTTTATGAATGCGTTAAGGTTTAATGACATTGACTATTGTAAATATTGTTTAAATTACAGGAAGCGCACCAGGTTGTGGAGCAACCTTGATAGATGGAAACCCCAAAGTTTATGTAATAAAGATTGTGGTAAAGTGGTTAATAACAAACATATTGAAACTGCACAACGGATGCCATCTGGTCATAAGGAAAATTGGGGCGAGAATTATGTAAAGCATAAGCAAGAAGATTTATGCAAAATACCTGCTGACTTGATTTGCGAAATCTTGGTGAGTTTGGTGGATTGAGGAAAACGAGTTTGGGGTTGTGGTTGGTTTCCTGAAACAGTGGTGGTTGGTTTCCTGAAACAGTGGTGGTTGGTTTCGCTTAACACTGGTTGGTTGCCCTTGAAAACTGATGGTTTTGAGTGCTTTTTGAACGACACAAAGGACATGAGACAGCGACTTCTGGTTGCGCGAAACCGTGGGTTCTGGTTGCGCGAAACCGTGGGTTCTGGTTGCGCCCCCAATTACAAGTCAGCGTCTGCATTGGATGCGCATGAGTATTGTGTAATTATTCGTTGTATGGTCGGTTGTTTGGTTTTTTGTGTGGTTTGTTGTTTGGTGGTTTTGTTTCTATGAGGGTCTTACCCAGACCTCGTTATGGATTATGTCTAAAACCATTTAAAGGGTAGTGGGGTATTGTATATTAGAGGTTATGGATAAGAAATATTGCTCGGATTGTCGGAGTTACCGGAATGTGGATTGTTTCACAGGAAATTATATAAGAATTGTGAAAGATGCCGTGAGAAGGTACAAAGGAAGAGCAAGGTTAATTTTCATTGTGATGTGTGTGATTGTGATATTAGGAAAATGGGTAAAGCGAGACACGAAATAACTTACAGGCACGAGGAAAATTTAAGAAAGAATGAGGTTAAGGATAATTGAAATGGTTTAAGTTATTCTTGAAAAATGAATAACTTGAAACATTTTATTAATTATTATATGGGTTTTGGTGAGTGGATTGATAAATGCTGTTGGGCGGGTTTGAAAAAAGGGGTAGATGAGGTCTGGGCAAGCTACTGCTTGCTTTTAGAGGGCCCACAAATAGTCTGTGGATCTCGGGCCGAGTCTGAAGGCAGCAGACGTAGTGTGTTCTTTCTTCTTATGTCATCCGCTTTGTAAAATATTCAGGATTGATCGGGCCGGATCGGTCGGCTCCGAGGTAATACAAAATACCAGTTTATTTCTTTAGACATCCGGGGTGTTTATTTGTGGGCACCGTAGAAACCAGTTGAAGCAGCTCGTGGACATCCGGGGACCCCAAAATGTCCAAAGCCCATGTCCTTTTGGGTTTGACCCTCGGCCTTTCAATCTGGCATTGGGTCCAAACTTTCGGATTCCAACTGCAGTTCCATGTTGGTTGGCAAGATGAGCAACAGTGACCCCGCGAATTCCGATTCTACCTTCAGCTGGGAGGGCTAGACAAATGGAATTGACACACCGCTCGGGGGGAATTTGGGCGGTGTTCATAGCAAAAGAGGGGAAGCGGGGGGCAAAGCAAGTATTTGTCGATTTTACCCATCTAAATTCCCTGCTCACCCTCCTCCCAGACGGATCCCTTTGGAAGATTCAAGTTTATTTCCTGCGGCCTTTTGGGAGCTTCCCTGCAAGGGTAAGGGGGAGGGCTCCTGGTGGGCTTTCTTCCTTGGAGAGCAGCAACTCGTTGGGGGCTGGCCCTTTGAGAATACCAGGTGCAGCGCTCAAAGCCAGCATGAACGCCACAAACGCACCCTGGATTAACTTTAAAGTTGAGCAATCCGCATCCACAGCATGTAGGTGTGCTGCTCCATTGGCCTAAGGTTGAAAACGTCGCGGCCAGACCTGGGCACGCTGCGGCAGATGTACGCCAACGCAGTCCGAAGCGGCCATGCAGGCATGTTGAAGGCTGCCGTCCAGCACCTGAAGCACTGGTGCAAACAGGGCCCTAGATACGTCCCGGAAGTTGCAGCGATCTTGGGGGAATCGCCCAAAATGCCAATTGCGCTTGAATTCCTGGAAGCCCATCCGGATTATTTTGCGCCGTTCTGCAAGATCTTCTTTGAGTTCCGACCGAGAAGTTGGAGTATTGCCAACAGTATTGCACTCCACGCCACAGATGTGGAGTATTGCACCAAGTATATGCGGCTCGGAGTCAAGAAATATGCAGAAGGAAAGCTACAGAAACGCGACTTGCTCCGGTTTTTTGACCAGGCAATAAAGCCGAGTTTATACTTCGTAGGTCCCGCAAAGTCACAATCTATTCTTTTGAATCGCGTCACCTCCTTGGCAGAAACCATGTTGGAGTTAGATGCATCCACGCAAGCAGACATCTGTGGCCTGATTGTGCGAGCGCACTATTGCGTTCCATTGATTGTGCAGCTGCTCAGCAACAAAGACCTCGCGCTTGTTGCCAAGATCGTGATAACGGACTACCTGACGGAGGCAGATGAGGCTGTTCTGAAGAGTGTGGTGACGCCAGATGTCCTTCAAGAGATGGGCCCTTCACCCATGAAGCTTCTGCACCGAGCGCATGATCTATCTCAGGAAGCAGCCGAGGTGCTGCTTAGCGCAACACTTCCGACCGTTGATGACGACGACTCGTTTTGATGTCGCCCAAAAGATGGCTCGCAGGCAGTGGCTTACGGCATGACAAATGAAGTTCAAAAGTGCACTCGTTTTGTGACCAATTGTGTTCACTGATTTCTGAACCACTGCGCAGCTGCAATCGGGGCAAGCGCAAGATTGCTTATCGCCCAGGCACTGTTCCGACAAACAAACCGTCAAAACATCCTGCAACCTCATGTCTTGCCGTTTACTCAGGAAGCCAGAGCAGAAGGCATACGCAAACTGGCTTCGAGCGCCCGGTATTGTGCACGAACGGATTACACGTATCGATGTTAGTGTTTGTTCGGAGCAGATCGTCATATCCAGTTGTCTATGATCTTGCCAAGCCGGCGTTGGTCATGCAATGCAGTTGCTAGGCAAACAGTAGGACTTATACGAGCCTCCTGTCCTCGGCTCATGTGGTACATTCTTGAGCAATCCACTCCCCCGGCAGGTTATGCAACAGAATGTGAGTCTTCATGAGACTGGAAGAGTAAGGCCACTTCCATTTTCCAGTTTACATGTCACTGGCAGCCATATAATATAGTAACCGTTGCAGGGCGCACCTACCTTCAATGATGGATGGAGGAAGGTGCAACTACGCGTAACCCTTTTACCGCTGCGACTATCCCAAGACAACCCATGGCAAAACAGACGAGTCAAATTGCCAATTGCCAACGCCGCTAAGGCGCATCGGGCTCAAGGCGCGCGGAAAGGTTGAAGGTTTGTGTTATTTGTTTGTTTGTTTGTTTGTTTACTTGCTTGTTTTTTGTTGGTTTGTTTGCTTGCGTGTCTGTTTGTCCTGTCTGCCCTGTTTGTCTTTTTGCCTGCCTGTTTGTCCCGTCTGTCCTGTCTGTCCTGTCCTGTCCTGTCCTATCCTGTCTGCCTGCCTGCCTGCCTGTCTGTCTGTCTGTCTGTCTCGGTGCCTGTCCTTCTGTTTGCCTGCCTGCCTGTCTGTCTGTCTGTCTGTCTGTCTGACTGACTGGCTGTCCGTCTGTGAGTCTGTTTGCATGTTTGTTTGTTTGTTTGTTTGTTTGTTTGTATGTTTGTTTGTTTGTTTGTTTGTTTGTGTGTTCGTTTTTGTTTTTTCCCGTTTGTTTGCGTGTGTGCTTGATTTATTGCTTGCTTGCTGGCTTGCTTGTTTGTTTGCTTGCTTGCTTGTTTGTTTGTTTGTTTGGTTGGTTGTTTGACTGATTCATTGGTGGGTGGGTTGGTTGGTTGATTGATTTGTTGATTGCTCGATCGATTCATTGATTGGTCGGTTGGTTGATTGATTGTTTGCTTGATTGATTGGTTGGTTGGTTGGTTGATTTATTAGTGGATGGGATTTAGTTTGATTTGAATTGATTTGATTTGATTGACGTGATTGGATGGATGGATGGATAAATGGATGGATGGATGGATCGATGGACTGATTGATTGATTGATTGGTTGATTGATTGATTGATTGATTGATTGATTGATTGATTGATTTGATTTGATTGATTGATCGATCGATCGATCGATCCATTGATTAGTTGGTTGGTTGGTTGGTTGGTTGATTGATTGATTGATTGATTGATTGATTGATTGATTGATTGATTGGTTGGTTGATTGACGTTTGTGTTTGCTTGTTAGTTGGTTTTTCGGTTGGCGAACAGACACATTTATCCATTAAACTTGGGTTCAGATAGTTGCGGGGAGCAACACCTTTTGGTCAGGGGGCAAAAGCAAACAGTTAAAAAGGATTGGCACTGGCCATTTTCTCCAAATGGAATCCAATGAAAGATGTTTGCCCACGTTTTTCCCCGCGCCCCTGTTTCTTCTCGCGCCGCAGGACGCCATGAAGCATCCCTGGATCCTCCTCCACGCGCCCAGCGCTTGCTTGGAGCTCACCCAGGCTTGGTGGAAGCCCATAGGGACCAGGTGGGTGGTGATAGAAAACCCATAAAAGTATAAACATTTTTTGTTGTTCCGCCTGGGGGTGGTTTTGCTGGAATACAGTATTAACATTTTTGGTTGTTTGCCCTGAGAATGGGTTTGCTGGAGGTAATGTATCCAAGTATGGATGGGACCGAGCGGTTGGGGGGGGCTTCCCCAAAGAAAGTGAAGGAGCCCATCTGAATGTGACACCCGCTACTCATCAATCCGGTTCCAGCAGCCTGCAAAGACAGGGTTGAGGCGGATTCCACAGAGAAAGACAAGTCTATGTGTGCCGTTCCAACTTAGTTGCTTTAGCTGTTCAGTCAGACCTTCCCCTCCTGTTGGTAACCTCACTGGAAGCTGACTGGGTCTTTGGAAGCCATAGTGCGTAGCTAAGCATTAACACGGAAGTGCAGGAGCCCGCAGATTCCTCACTGTCCTCATTCCAGCTGTTTCAAGAAAACTATATGTGTGTGAGCGTGTGTCTCTGGGCAAGTTTTACCGTTTCACTCTGGGACAAACAAGTCTGTGAAGGCGAACCAATGATGTTCCCCGAAACCACGACTCCCCCGGAAACGGCGACTGTCCCAGACCACGAAACATGGCACGTTGCAATAAAACTGCCCTTGTTCCACCAAGCGACTGGACTCTATGTGCATGTTCCAAACATGCGCTGTCTCGCATCAAATCAGCATTGGGTGTTTCATGCGCACATGTGCCACCAGATCTAAATGCGCAACTACAAATGTTGTTAAACTCACTGCTTGGATGGAGGAGTGAGTTATGAGTTTGTTTGGTGTTCGCCCGATAAAAGTTGTCCAGCCCCATAAGGAAAGTCATGCCGACTTGCTCAATCGCCAGACCTGCGAGCTCAAGCATGTGGTGGCAGAGCCCAGGCTTGCTTCGGAAAGGTTGGTCCGTTTGTTGTTTGTTTGTTTGCTTGCGTGTTTGCTTGTTTGCTTGCTTGCTCAGCTTTTGTCCGGAGCTGACGCCTCAGAATTGGGTGGCGCTGAGTGATGGGGACCCTCCAAAGTGAAAGTGGTTGAGCAACAAAGTAGTTGTGCCTCGTGCGATCTCCAGTGGCCTAACTTGCTCCGTACTGGTGCTTTGAGGGTCTTGAATGCGCGGAAAAAAGAGACATTGGTATATGTTCAGACCTGGTGCCTTTTCAAATGGCTGAATTCATATTGGTATCTGGCTTGCATCAACCCAGGAGTACATAGTTTGACACATGCCCAAGTATGTGTAAAGGCGACTTGTTGCAGGCACTGCCCGAACCGTTGTTGAAGGCACCTCGCTGGCGAAAAAGGACTCCTTCAAAACACTGGGAGGTGTTATCTCGATGCAAAAAGAAATCGGGAGAATGGCCCCATTCTTCCTGGAGAAGGACTTGCCACCCGCCATTGACGGGATGGATGGACACATTCGGGAACCGCGGAGATCTCGAGTGCTTCCTGAGAGAATTTAGTTTCATGTCCCTTTTGCGGGTAAGAGTTTCGGGGCGGGCATACCCACGCCCCGTTTGTTTTTGAGGGAATCGCAAGGGCGAAAGTTCAATTCACCCCGTATTGTTGGTTTGGATTTGTTTTGAACCCTTCCCTTCTTGTTGAGGGTAAATGGGCAGTTTTCTTAACCAAAGTGTCAGCCAGGCAGATGTCCAAGGAGGCCAAGGCGCGGGGAGTTGAGCTTCAGGCATGTGTCATCAGCCCCTACTTTCAACGTCTCAGGCATAACATCAGGGAACTGTTTGCTTTCCTGTTAGGCTCTTTAAGCCCTTTGTTAGATACTGTTAGGTTAGTTGTTTCCGATTTGATTCGATGTTCAAAGGGAAATGCGAAAAGAGGTTCGCCAGTAGTCAGGGGTGCGAAGGCGAGGCCGGGGCGCAGCGTTGCCATTTGGTTTTGGCTTGTTGCTCGCATGTGTGAGCGCTGGTGCAGCTTCGCCAGCTAGGCAGTCGGCTGGTTACGAAAGCAGGTGGCTGGTTAGCTAGTTGCTTGGATAGTTTGGTTGTTATCTTACTTTTTTTACGTGCTTGCTTACTTGCTTAGTAGTGTAGGTTGATTGCGTACAGATACTCTAGTCAGCTACTTAGCCAGCTATCAAATTCAGCTAGTTAGCTGCTGCTCAGCCAGTGGGCGAGCCAAGCAGCAGTTCTTAAGCTAGCCAGTAATTAGCTCGTCAGCTGGTTGCCAACGAGTTGGCCAGCCACTTCGCCAACCATCAGGGGCACACACACTATGTTCCTCGCACGTGCTGTATCAATGCATGCGCAAAGGATCGCTTGGCCTCTGGGTTCGCCCACGTTTGCCTGAGCGTGTACCCACAACGGGGAACATCCATGTTGCCCTTAAGTAAGTCAGCTACTGAGCTAGCTAGTTGGTAGGTCCATAGCTTGCCAGTCCCTTGCCTAGCCACTTAGGCAGTACGCCCGTCAGTGAGATGGTTAGTTAGGTTAGAGCAGCTAGTCAGCTAGTTAGCTAGCTACCTGCTTGCTAATGATTGAGCTTGAGAGCTGGCAAGTTAGCTGGGTGGCCAGTTGCACAACAAGTCCGGTAGTTTGCTTGCTGACTTATGGAGCACAGGTTACCCTCTTTTCTGGGAATGCTTTTTTTTGAGGGATCTGACTGACGGCGTGCAAAACTGAAGGTTGCAAGAGAGTATCGAAATCTTCGCCAGATCTATATGTCCGCTGGCGAAGGTGAGCACAACCAGAGACGCATGAGGAATGCTTTTGCAAGATAAGCGCAGCAAGATCTCACAATACGGGCTCGGTGTGTTGCGGTGCTTCGCATTCCAAGGGAGGAGGCGTCAAGGGTCGGTCTAGATTCGTCTACGAGCGCGAACTTCGGACTCCAAGGGCCCCACCGAGTGTCGCGGTGCCATCCCATGCCTATGGCTCCGGGTGCTTCAAGCCCCTGCCAGCTTCTTGAGCTTTGTCATTGACGGTTGCTCGTGTATACCTACGTATACTGGCACTCAAGGCAAAAATAATTAGGGCACTTGAATGAGGTAGATTCATACTTCATTGAGCGGATTCCTGCGCTTCCTTGAAGCCCAGAAGCCCAGAAGCCCCAGTGGGCACACCTTTC